ATATTATAGATTAACTTTCCCTGATAACTTCTTGTCTGAATCTCAACACCTTCATCATTATTTTAGAAAGATCAGTATAGTCCCTGGTCCTGGAAATATAGAATTACATGGCGATACCAATGAAATATCTTTTAATAATAGATTTTAAAAATTGAGGTTTGTCTGCAGATAGAAAGCAACTTTTTGATGTCAGGTTGGGACTCTCACAACCTTTACTGCTATTTGAAAATGATGTGGATATTACATTGTTTATGGCGTTGGTACTAAATACTTTGATGTGTAGAAAATCTGTAAAGTGGAATTCTAGTTTTAATAGTCTTGTTTTGATGCAGAGTGGAGAGAAAAAGATAAGGGAGGGGAAAAGGGGAGAAATGGTGGGATCAGGATGAAAAATGAATAATGAATAACATGGAAATTGGGAAGAAGAGAGCGTGAGAGAGAGGAGGAGAGGAGTGACCCCCAAGAGCGCATTTCTACCACCTTACACCGGAGCCTGAAAGTTGCACCCTGTTTTCTACATTTGTCAACATGAATACAGTTCACACACACACACACACATATATATATAATATATATGTATATGTATATATATATATCTACATCTATCTACTCTATCTATCTATCTATCTATCTATCTATCTATCTATCTATCTATATATATATATAATATATATATATATATATATATATAATATATATATATATATATTATATATATATATATATATATATATATATATGTTCATATATATATACACACAAACACACATATATATATATATATTGATATTTAATACACAAAATATATATATATATATATATATATATATATATATAGAGAGAGAGAGAGAGAGAGAGAGAGAGAGAGAGAGAGAGAGAGAGAGAGATATACATGTGTATTTAAAATATATATATATATATATATATATATATATATATATATATATATATATATATATATATATATATATATATATATATATATATACATGTATACCTATTGTATCTATATTATGTATCTTGTCAATTAAGGCTCTCTGCTCTTAAAGGACTTACCATTCTCACAAGTCATGAAAAGGGTTACGCCTGAAGAGAATAAATACTTATTTCTTGACATTTTATTAGAACCTACCACATTACCCACACTGAGGAAACTAACTTGTGTATTGGCTTGTTGAATCAGTTTTGCATGATAAAGCTCAGAAATGAATTGTAAACAAGCAACTTTCAGATATGAATATCAGAAAGAAGGCTAAGTATTGACAAAGGTGATTAATAAAACCAGTCATTTTAACAAAATTTTATTAATTCATACAAGTCAGGATTATGCATTTCGAAGACCAACTCCCAAAGATTTTCCAAAAAATATTCCCACTTGATGAAACCACAAAATTTTAGCTTTCACGTCTGGCAGCAATTTTAATTTTCATCAATATTAATAGAGAAAGAACCTTGTTGAGTAGCATGCAAGGCTCCAAAATAATGGGTTTCTTAGACCAATGGTCATGTTCTTTTTTTTAAATACTTTTAGAATTACATTATTACATTCTGCAGGAGGAAAAGAGCACACATGAAGAGAGGAATATGATAATTCTTTATTTTACGGATATTTAAGATACCAATAATAAGTCTTTGTGGTTCTTACCTTAAAAAGAGTAATTATAGTAAAAAATACGAAAGAGAAAGAGAACTTCAACCAAAGTAGATAAAAAAAAAGTTATTAGTTTGGAAAAATTTTCCCTCACTTATGAAAAGTCTTAAAATCTAAAGTTACGACGTCATCTGTTAATTGTAAAACCTTTTGGCCACAAAAATTATGAAAGTAAAATCTAAGAAAAAAAGACAAAATTATATTCATATGTGCATAAAATTTGCAACAAACTTTAAACTAACAAATTATCAAATTTTAAATATTTTTTGTTCAAAGAAAAAATAATCTTTTAGAGTATATAAATTTTTGTCACCTATATACTAGCCCTGGAAAAATATTGCATTACTTTTGATTAAACATGTTAAAAACGGATAATAATGATAAAAAAAAATTGCAAATATGACTAAAATTTGTTTTTAGATATTTTTCTTCCTCTCTCTTTTAATTTGATGTTACACTGGAATTTTCCAACATTATGACTGAGGGATTCATACTTACAAATATATACATAAGTACTCTACATAATCACATACATGTATGCAAAAAAAGTGGTCATTCAGATACACATATTATATATATTATAAAAGACAAACACCAATTTTCAGAGAAAAATCATAATTAGATTTTCCTAGTTGTTTTCTTGACACAGGATTTGTTAGAATAATCTGGATTATTCCGGTAAAAAAATCAGCAGCTTGCAAAATAATGTTTTAGTTTTGGAAAGATTTTAATTAATTAATTTCTTCAAAATCAAATCTCTTACTAGCCTTTGGTAATATCAGGATCATAATTTTTCCTATATAGAAAAAAATACCGACGTCACAGGTTAATGTAACAAATTTAGCCTCGTATGTCATGGTAATACAAATAAGATATTACATCTGATGGCTTCATTTGCTTTGTCTTTATATGTGTACTTCATCAACCGAACATATTTAAAACAAGTCATAACTGATAGTATCTTTCTGTGCATAAAGCAAAGTAAAGTAAACCTTTTACTGGATAAGGAATGGTGAACTCGATTACTGAAATGACGCTGATGTGTTTCTTGAGAGAAAAAAAGTGAAAATTTGTGTTACAATGGGAGAATTCATGGTATTCATACTCTGTACTTATGCTGAAGTATCTGTGAAAGGTAAACATTATCAACTTATTCTCGTAAGTCTGTCATGCACTCAGAATATATTCATGATGCACACTAAACTTCCTAAACAGATGAAATACTTCAGAAAATAGGAATAAAGTGAAAAATAACAAATTTCATCCAAATTTACACATTCGCACTGTTTTCAAATAATACTTTTATACCTATAAGAAACATGCAAAGCAAAGCAGAAAAAAGGTATAAAAAAAGCCAACAATAATTTGGATTACAAAATGTTATTGTCAAAGAAGTATAAAGTCAAGTAATGCCACAATTTTCAAAAATCTCTAAAGGCAATTATTTTTCTCTTTGTCATAAGACAGACGTTGACTTGTTTGATATGTATTGTGTTTATTTTCTGAATGAATGAACTGATAACAAAACCAAAAAAATTACAATAAAGTAATGTATTTGTATATTTTGCTTCTTTCATGCCTCTAACTCCTCAAATACCATAAATTACCTACTTCCCTATTTGTACTTTAACATGGAGGCATCTGTGTATAATTATAAAATTTTAGCGCACACTCAACAGATGTTAATGATAATACATACATACATGTGTCTACCTAGGTTCAAACTCTTAAAACAGACATAACATTCATTTCCATTTATCTCTTTCTATTTTTCCTAAGATTGTTCTTTTTATCTCAGAGCATTCTCTTGCTTGCTTCTTCTTGTTGACAAAGCTCTTTTATATACATATACATAATATAACATATAGATACACCACTAAGTTTTGGGCAAATTTAGTTCCAGGACTGCCAGACAGAGGTCATATGTAAACCCAATCACAATGATTAAAATTTTGAATGAAATAGGATGAGGCCACGGCTGGATTCCTAACGCATCATACCGGCCATAGGACCCACGCTTTTATCTATTTTATCTATTCACTGAAAAATCTTAGCCAAGTCAACACCTAAACCGCGTATTAAAAATATAATATGGTGAGGCTTGGGGGTGAACCTCCCAGGTAAGGAAAGATCATACAGCATTATAATAATATACTATGGAAAAAATGGGTAAAAAGGAGTTACTGATTAGTATAAAATATGCAAGATGTCAAAGGTTGTAGAGCGCTACCGGCAGTATGGTAGTGAAGAGGGTAAAGAAGTAAGAGCAAAAGGTGTACAAAGGCCATTCAGAACTGACACAAAGCCAGCCTTTCATCCTTCCAGCACAGCTCTCACACTTTAGGACGTGGAGAGAAGAGGATGAAAAAGAGAAGAAAAAGGAAAGGGGAAAAGACCATGCAAGATTAGTTGAGGCGAGGGCTGAGGTCCAAGGTAAGGGCAATCTCCAACTTTGCGCCTCAGTTTTTGTCAACTAAGCCCTCCACAACAAAGAGCAAGGGATTGCGGGGAACACACATGATAGTATTGAGAGGTCACCTAGCACCCGTACAATTTTCTCCATAATGTGACAGGAGCCAATGTCTCGACACAGGATAATAAAGACTCTGACTCACTAATTAAGTATATAACCTGAGAAATGCAAAATTATATCGAGCCCACATCATGGTTTAAAACGTGTCAAGAAATGTTCCAGTAGATTATTTTGTTTTTTGAGATGATATACACATGCATTGGAGTTTAGTTAAAACTACTCTAAACTCTCTCTTGTAGTCACCACATACTATTGAAAATGATTTCTGCTGCAACAATTGGGTTAAAATGATGGAGATGCACCAGCATGAAGTCTCTGTGCCACACTCAATGCTGTCCATGCCTGCACAATGAATTTATGGGATAGTCACAAAATATACCTATAATTCTGTCTGGCTTAATGATAAATGGTTAATGATCAAATAGCAAAATAAATGTGCTAGACATCTAAGGTCTTATAGCACTATAGGAAAGTTCTGTCTGGCTTAGAAGTGCTGGTCTATCAGTTACCCAAAATTTGGTGGTGTTCTTTTATAAGTAATGCTCCAGCAAAGATATTTTTTGGTGTCCTTCATTCACTTGCACATCTTTGAAATCTAATTCTTTCAATGCTTCATTAGGGTTATGTATTTCCTTTCCTTCTGCTCAATCATCTTTAACCTTCTCAAGATTCCTGAAGATTCTTATTTCATGTATTTTGAATCCCTTGGAAAAAAAACTTCAAGCTAAATAACAGTCTTTTATCATCTTTATTAAATTCTGTTTATCAACTCTTTGTACTTAACACCGTCTCCACCAAAGATTTCCAGCTCTTCCCGTCACAGATTCCCATAAAAAAGAGAAAGAAATATAATAAAGGTCACATAAAACACACATCTATATACTTGTGATATTTTTGTTGTCTCTTTTTCAAAATATATCGAGGCAAGACCAACACAACAGCAGCCTGTCACTTCCCTCTCATTAACAATACCTTTCACACACTTTCCGATACATTTCTTTTTCTTCAATTCGTAATCAGACCTTCCGCTTCCAGACCTTCCATGAGTGGATAATCTTGTATATAATCACACAAAAGTAAATAAAAATAAAGAATAAAGGTGAAAAATCTGTTATATACACTAAAATCTTACATACAAGTATTAATAATTTTCCCAGGTCAAGTATCTAGCTCATACATCATACAATCTAAAATTCTCACTGTTCAAAACACTTATAATAATTATAAATGTCTATTTGACACACAGAAATAATTCGATTACTGGGATAATGATAATAAATAACAATAATAATGATGAGAGTAATAATACCAATAATAATGACAATCAGAATAATAACGATGGTAATAATAAGAACATCAATAATAATAATGGTATCTTCTGGTTTCATGAAAGACTGTTGGGAAACTACAAAAACAATAAAAGAAGAAAAATGAGGAATGTCTAGCCCAAATTACGACAATAACTCCTGCAGTTTTTGGTAATAATAAATATCAACTGAGATTAGTTTTTCTTTTTACAGAAATAAAAGGATTTGTTTTCTCTTTGTCTAATGTAATAATATAATCCAATAACTGGAAAAGGAGTAAAGTACAAGAGAATACAAGGTTTGATAACAATTTTAAATAACTTATAGAACAGTTAGTCATGAATCACACATTACTGCTAACTTCTAAATAACAAATTCAGTGACCTTGCTGAATTCTTAATATACTAACAAGAAAGGAAGAAAAAGTGATAGAAAGAGAGACTTGTGAATGTACCACTCAAAAAAAAAAGAAAGAAAGAAAAAAAATTATACACAAACCGACCCTTATTAAGGTAAGAATCACAGAGTACATTAGCAGAACTATCACTCAACTCTATGTTCCAACATGACCAAAGTTCCGAGCAAACTTCCTGACTCCCTTAAGAAATGGCTGATACAGCTTAACTCCACTCATCAACAAAAAAAAGGAGGGCGGGGCATTGGGGTGAAAAAGAAGAGCGAGAAAAAATTAACATATAATCTGTCAGCAATCATTTCTGGGCAACTGTAAGCCGTGCTTTTCAATATACTTTCTCCTCGCATTCTCTATGAGCTGTGCTTTTCTCGTCTGGAAAGATGTCATTCTCTCTGTCGCTGACTTTCCAAACGATTTTGCTGCTGTATTCAGGGAAACATTAGCCTCCGATGAACCTGCAAGAGAGGTGGCCGTCTCCAGTGTCGACTTAGAAGCACTATTTGTGGGCGATGAAGTATGGGGGTGAGTGGTGGTGCCTGTGGCTTGTGGGGGGGTAGGGCTGGAGACCACAGGGCTCGGGGTGGCTGGGCGAGGCTCGGGAATGGGCTCTGGCACATTACCCTCAAGGAAGTTGGTGATCGTCTGGTCAACGTTCTGCGTCCGCACTGAAGGAGACAGAGACAGAGTTGTGTGGTGTTTTTATTTGAAAAGTCACCTATAAATTTATGAAACATTTATGTACTTCTACACCCATTTGAATACGAAAAAAAAAAAAAAACAAAAAACTTTCCTTACAATACTTTCCCTCTTCATGCCTAATTCATCTCCCCTGACCTAACATCAAACCATGTTAAAAATCTCTAGCCATACAACCACAATTACAATACAACTCAGTAACTAAAAAATGAAAAAACTTCCCCTGAAGAACCAACGACAAACTGACCCACCTAGATCACGCTTAATCTGATCCAGGGAAATGTGGGGCAGCACCTCTTGCACCTGTTGGGCCATGATGTGCACCTCGGGACTGAGCATGGGGTTGGCCGCCGCTGCAGCTTCCCTGGCCAGCCTCTTCATGAATTCCACCTGGAAAAATGTCGATAGAGGATATATACATATTTTGAAAGATTAAATCAAATCTGTACAATTCCCTCCATTTGCAAGTTCACCGGTAATTATTGACAATTTATAGCTTGCAAGTTTTGTATCTTGTATTGGGAACTCATGGCCCTTAGTGGAACTCGCATGTGTTTCAGACCACTCATGCTTTTTCAAAATTATTGGATTTATGTATTCACTACTTTTCCCTCACAGTTAAAGATTTTCTTTTTTCTATTGTAAGCTTTATCAACACATTACGATCTGGATGACTGATCAGGTCATGAAAAAAAAAGAAAAAAAAAATAGCTTGAGCGGTAGGGGAAGTCAACATGCAATCATTGGAAAATTTGGCTGTGGGCTGGAGTGACACAAACTTGCTGTTGTGAGTGTTTCGGCTGAAGGCTAAACTTTGGCATTATTTCCTTTGATAAACGTGTGGAATGTAATGTTCTTGACTGAAAGAGCACCAGCTCCAGGGAGGATACTATTTCCATGCTCAAGATCCTTTCTGTGCAGCCCCCCAACCACCGCCGCCCTCACCCACGCTCGATCCCCGCCGAACAGCATACCTCTCCCGCCCCTGCCGCCCCCGCCCCGCCCCCCCCGCCCACAGCCACCACACCACCCCACCCCACGCCGCCCCCCTCCCGGCCCCACCGCCCCGCATTTGCTGTGCCACAGCATGGGCCTATCCAATTCACTCACTAGAGAGAGCAAGTTCGATGAGTGTGTATGCACATTCCGTCATGAAGAAGTTATCATTAACAGCTTTCCATTTTAGCATACCACCAGTCACGAGGTTTAATAACTATATGCAATGTATGATGTATGAAAGACAAATATGAGTATTTAAGACTACTCTATTTATGTATTTTCTCTTAATTTGTTGATTTATGTCTGCAACAATAAAAGTTAACAAACTCATATAGTGTTATAGTCGAAAATGTCCCAGACCTATTGTCTAGCTTACAATTACTGAGATGATGAATTGGCTGTGTCTATCACATCAAAGCACAACAATGAGATTAGGAGCTGCTGATGCCAACTTGCACGGATCGGGCAGCAAATTTCCTGCTGCTGAGCTCGCGTTTCTCGAACATCCTACATACATAGTTTATACCTTTCAATAATCAGTTATCTGTTGTAACAACCAAAACACATACAACTTACTCCTATCTACCTCACAAATCTAAGCAGCCACGATTTCCGCAGCAAAAGATAAATAAGAATAGAGCAGATTTTTGCGCTACAATTAGGTAGTAACTCACCCAAGTTCCCCATCATACAACTGTCGATTAAAATTGCAATACCTCTTCCGTCTTTTAGTGAGTCATCTGCCATCACATTCATTCGACATCATGCGTGCAGGTTAATCATGTTATGAAGTCACTTTAAGAAAAAGTCAGAACAGAACGAGTAAAGCATCAGACAACTTCCTATCCACACTTTCCTTCTTCACACAAATCTCTAACACACGTAAATATGATATCGTTTCCATATTATCTTATGCATCTACTCGCACTTCCGCACATAGAAAAAGACGTGCCAGCTGTCTTTATAATTCTCAATGCCACTACTATAATAATCGCCTCTCAGCGTCATTCATCCACGATCTCTAATGTGCGTGAGGTAAACGCGTCATACCTTCCTTTAGTCATTCATAGCCAGTGAACACTAGTCATACTGGATCTGTTGAGTCAACGATACTAGTGTAAAGCACAGGTCATGTCGAGATCTCGCTATCGGAATGTCGCCCGAGGACCTGCATGAGTGGCAAAAATGCCATAGGTAAAAGAGGAGGGATGGCTGCACACAATCCGTCGAGTGACCAGCTCTACTGAGTGACTGAATCCGTTTGATTAATCTTTCAAACTGGCCACCTCAATTGACTCTCTATATTCTTAACCTGACTAGGTGGCATTGACGGAAAGGTGCGTCACAGGTCCGTTGCTTTCTTATGTGGCACACTTCGCATAGTTAGCACAATGGCACATAGAGCGTGACGCTTCTACATGAGAGGAAAAGAATGAGAGTATTGTCTTTGATGACGTAATTTCAATTGAAATTGAAAGTATTTAGGTATCTCTCAGTCTATTATCATATTAACCACAAAGTGATGACAATAACTGCAGCCTAAGATATAATAATAATGAAATATGCATCAATTGGGAAGATTGATATTATACAAAATAATTCATGACATAAATGCTATGTCCTAAGACATTGCATAACCCCTATGCATTGTCTCAGAAATAAATCTTGATAGCTAGCATTCATTATATTGTCTCTCTTACTTCTCTTATACGATTTCCTCTTTTACTATTTTTAACTACATGTGTAGATTGGATCAAGATTACAACGATAAAGGATTTTATACGGAATATCGTATCTCTCATTTAAAGTGCCTTCATTTCCTTTTACGCTTCGTATATAAGCTATCGCTGCTCCCGTCATTAGTGGTTTGTTTATTATATTTTTATTGTGATGTTGTGTTGTGTCTGTCTTTTCTATGTTTTTTTGTTATTGTATTCGATGCATTTGCCTTTATGTATCTTCGTCTGTATTTGCCAAAAGTGCTTTCACTTCCAGTCGGCTGGTATATGCAAAGAGAGCAGCCTGGAGGGATGAGTGAACGACTGTGGCAAGTCATATACACTCGCGCTGTGCTAGGAGAGGATTTAAATACTTTTAAGAGCCATACTTAAAATATGTAAAATGGCACGAGGAATTGTAAATATCTGTAAGGACAAGGCATTTAGCTCTAGATTGCTACTTAATAATATGAAATGAGAATAGACAAGCTGGATTACCCTCACAATGAAAAGATCTAGGAGTTATCATCAAGCTTATTATGTGTTTGTTTCCTCTTAATTAAACGGTAGAAGACTCTTTTAAAGAAAGTATCACAAGGTGATATTATCACATCGCAATAATTCACTTATTATCTCCCGTAATGCATCAGAGTATATTTATCTAACCTATGCATGATTATATCCATTCACACGAGCTGTTCTGAAGCAAGAATTATGCAGCAGATCAAACGATATAGAAGCAAGAGAAGTCGTGCTTCGAGTGTCGTACATTATTGTTAGTAATATCTGTGTGTGTGAGGCGTCTCAGAGGGTGTTACATAGACTTAATCTCCATGTGTATTCGATCGATGAATACCCATTTGAACTGGTAATAGTGACTCAGATATGGAGACGGAAAAAAAGGTTACTGTTTCTTGCCTTGTATATAAGACCTAAAACAGCTTTCTTTTCACTCTTTCCCCTTAACATTCTATGTTGTTCATCAATGAGCTTCATACATATTATGTTTTTTCTTAAAATGTAGCTCGGGCCTTGCTTTACAAATATGGCAAACTACTTCTTACATTACAATGAGACTAAAAAGTTCTCGTTGGATAACTTTTAAAACGGGCATTGAAATAATTAGACCAGTGTTGCGTCTGATAGAGGTGTGTGATGAGGTGTGTGTGATGGGGTGTTGAGTGATATTGTCTGTGTGTTGTGGTGTGTAGAGTGAGTGATGTCTGTGTGTGTGTGTGGTGTGTGTGTTGTCGTGTGTGTGTGTGTGTGTGTGTGTGGTGTGGTGTGTGTGTGTGTGTGGTGTGGTGTGTGTGTTGTGTGTGTTAAAATTCACTAAGAGACTACATTTCTCCAAATAATAAACTACATGCTGGGCTCAGAAAAAGATGCCTATCTCATGTGGTTTCTTAATATTAAATCCCTATTATTACTGATTATTCATGATTATCTCAATACTTCTTCTGAAGATATCTAATGTTTTTGTGCACTGAGTCTTTATGACCATTAGTGAGACCAGGATTGAGAGAGAGCGACATGGAGTAGAGATGGGACGAGAAAGCAAAGTAAGTCTTATCGTGGCATGAGTACCTCCTCGTACAGAGACGATCGAGATCACTATGTGACTGCGTGAAGTGCTGTCAAATCTCAAGAGCAGGGATAGTTTAAGTGTCGAGCTGTGACAGTTGTTGTAAGCGTATAAATCTCATCCGTCCCACGAAACACAGTCATTAAGAAGGTAAGGAATCGCTTGCCCCCACGCATTATCGACCGAGTATTTTGGGGGGCAGTTAGTCGCACGAAGTAACAGGTTATGTGACAGATTGACGTTCCGGACTCTCTAGATTTCTGGATACTGAACAATGCAGTAGTTACAACGCATATAGTATATAAAAAGGAGGATAGTATTGGATTAATATTTGTATATTCTTTCGTATCCTGTTTTCTAGATGATTTCTATGTTGTATTGAGATTAGATTGTCATTTCTATTTACGTAATTGTAACATGAGAGTCACTAGCGAGAGAGGAGAGAGGAGGTAGCGCATGATGAAACGAGAGCTAGAGAGTAATTGTGGAATTAGTGATGATTTGCGAGAGTGATCTTTATGAAGTGATGCAGACCAGAAGAGTTGGAGAGTAGTTGGCAGGGAGCTCGTAGATTCGAGAGATGCACTGAAGAGAGAGAGTATTGGTAAGAGAGAGATGCAGGAGGAAGGGATGAGGATGGATCAAAAGATGGGTGCATAACGTAGAGTAGACCTGACGGATGGGAGAGAGACAAGACAGTAACATGGGGAGAGATCACAACGAACCACTGGGGAGATGAGACACGACCCTATCTGTAGCGAGTTTGGAGACACACATGTACCTACTATAGTTATTGGACTGTCGAGGAATGTGTCGAAGCGAGAGACAGAGGTATGAGTGATCTCTTGAGACTCGAGACGAGACAGAGATGGCGGACGCACCTGTCACCGTAGAGACAGACATTGGCTGGTCCTCTCAGAGCCTCTGCACGTACTGACGTATATGACTCTATGTGCTCTGTTCGAGTACTTGTAAGCATCTTCTACTGAGATTGAGAAGCTCGGTATGTCTCTCTTAGATGAAAGAGAGAAGGGAGAGACAGTGAGGAAGGGGAGAACAGACCTCGATTAGTAGCGTGTGCGTGTGCGGAGAGGACTATCTCGAGATAGGGCGCGTGCCTAATGCTAGCCACGAGCATTCCGTGTCCTTAGCTAAGACTCTGAGTATTACGGGCGCTCTCCTTGTGGCGAGATTTCATTCCTTTGATCTCTGAGAGAGAGACTCTCCGTGATGGTAAGAGCTTAAAGCGAGGATCTTCTGTTGCGATGCGAGATCGTCTCTGACTTTCTGACGATGAGCTAGAGCTAGAGAGTATGACTGATGAGAGACGATCTCGAGATGGACGAGAGTATGACGTGGATTCGTCTCTCCTCTTGAGAGTCTACGACTCTGAGAGAAGCATCTAGAGACGAGTGAGCAGATGATGAGATCAGTATCGAAAGCAGAGAATATAGACGATCGAAAAGAGTATAATATGAGCATCATCATCGTCTCCAGGCGCGAAAACTACGAGACAATATCGATATGCTAGACTCTACTCTCTGCATCGAGAGGGAAAAGGAAAAAAAATTAAAAAAAAGCGGGAAAAATCAAGATTCGGGTATCCCGCCAGAGAGGGAGATGACAAGACCAGACGATTCTGAGGAAAGAGGAGAGAATACAATGCCAAGAGTAGCACTCAAGTCTCTCTAGCATCTCTCTCTCTCTGCATCAGGAACTACTCGTCTCTACTCGTAGAAAACTCGGTCTCATCTTTCTGACTCTTCGTATGATCGTAGCATTTCTCTTTCTACTATGTAGCAGAAAGAGAGAAACGAGAAATAGTGTGGACCCTTTCTCTCCCTCTCCCCTCTTTTTCTCTTTTTTTCCCCTCTCTCTTTCTCTCTTTCTATATACTCTAACTCCTTTATTCTCAAGACAGCGGTGACTAATCTCTCAGATGGGATAAGTCTCATTTGTGATGTCTTCTCGACACTGTACATCTCTATATCCTCTGATCCGGTTGCGATCTGGGAGGTGGAGGAGAGTGGAAGAGGATGGAGACGAGGAGAGATGAAGAGAGACGAGAGAGAAGAGAGAGAAGATAGAGGAGAGAGAGAGAGAGAGAGAGGAGAGAGAGAGAGAGAGAGAGAGAGAGAGAGAAAGAGAGAAGAGAGAAAGAGAGAGAGAGAGAGAGAGAAAGAGAGAGAGAAAGAGAAGAGAAGAGAGAGAGAGAGAGAGAAAGAGAAAGAGAAAGAAAAGAAAGAGAAAGAGAAAGAGAGAAAGAGAGAAGAGAAAGAGAAAGAGAAAGAGAAAGAGAAAGAGAAAGAGAGAGAGAAAGAGAGAGAGAAAGAGAGGCTGAGAGGAAGAGAGGGAGGGAGGGCGAGTCTCAAGACTTACCGTGACACATGGCATAACCATGGACACTGCCAAATGATCGAAGGGTGTGATGTGGTTGGTTGTTATGATGCGGCAAGTATGATCTTTCTTGTCCACATCCTCCTCCTGCACCACCAACCCTAGGATTGAATAGAGCACCCGCAACACAACCCTTGGGAAAAAAAGAAGCAAATATCACTAATTCACAATTATTACTACTGTTTGAAGTACTACTGCCAGTGACAAATATAAATAAATAAATAGAAAGACAAACAAAAAACATAGTAAAAAGAAGAAGAAGAAAAAAATAAAATAACAAAATACCAAATATCAGGTGTAGCATGTGATCAGAAATCTAGAGAGGGAAGTCAATCGTACAACTGCCCTGTGCGACTAACTGCCCCCCCAAACTTCCGGTCGATAAGGTGGGGGCAAGCGATCCTTACCTTCTTATGACTGTGTTGTGGGGGAGGATGGATGACGCTACAAACAACTGTAAGGATATAAACACTCGCAGCATGAAGATTACGAGACCTAGTGGAGTGTACAGGAGGAGGAACAGTAGATATGGTCCACTCGGAAACCTGGAAGACAAAGAGAAAAAATTAACAGAAGGAGATGAAGATAACATTAATAACACATAAGTATAGATTATTAAGAAAACACATGAGATGAAGCATTTTTTCTGATGCCCAGCATGTAGTATTATTATTTGGAGAAATGTAGTCTCTTAGTGATTTTACACACACACACACACACACACACACACACACACACACACACACACACACACACCACACACACACACACACACACACACACACACACACACACACACACACACAGACAATCACTCACTCACACACACACACAACAGACAATCACTCACTCACCACTCTCACACACCCTCACTCACACACCCTCACTCATCCCCCCACACAAACATTCTCACCCCCCCCACACACACAACATACACACAAACAGACTCACTCACACACTCGCTCTCATCCCCCCAACACACAGCGAGGAAAGATATCTGAGAGTGTAAAATAATACTCCCCAATGGGTTCAGTAACACCTTGTGACTTATTACAAGCACCAAAATAAAACACCTGACTACCATGTTTATTTTTGGTTACCTTTATATCATTGTAAGAAAAGTCAGCCTGTTTTAATTTCTACAGACTATTTCAGAGAGTTGCATCCATCATGCATGATCACAAACTTTTGCAAATATAATAGTATTTTCAAGTAAAAAAATGAAAATTAAAGATCTTCATAAAATCCTTACTTCATCATCATCTACAGAATATAAAAGAATGAAAAGAAGAAGTAAGACAAAATCCTACAATTTGGTTTTCTGGACAATGCAAGAGGTTATCAATGACAAAAACTTTTTCATAATACTTCATCTCCCATTGATGCATTATATAAAAAAGGAAGTTTCTAGTAATGACAAAATAATATTCATGCCACTCTAACACTTCCCACCTTCTTTACTGTAAGGTACCCTGATTCATCAAAATAAGGACGACTGTGACCGATGAGCCCAATGAAGAAAAAGGTATGAGTGAGGAAGAATAATTCCACAATCCAAGACATTTAATTCCCACTTTGATATGGGGCATCACACAAATTCAACAAGGACATAATATCAATGCATTAGTTACATTGCCAAGAATAAATGTGAAAAGAACACAAATACATACATAAAAACACTGCCTCGTTCTGTGCTGAACCAAAACAAATTATATTCAAAGTGTAGAAAGTGAAGGAAATGTATGTTTCCTCTGTTCTACTTTTTCCTAAAGTGACTTAACAATACACAATGTCTGGCAGGTGACTCAATAAAAGACAGGGAAATCCAGTTATGAACTGGTTATTATATGACTGCACTATTACCCTTCACTTGTGCTAAATTCATGTAGCTATTACAACTGATATGAAATCTTTTTAGGATTTCCACCCCCTACGACCCACCATTGCTATGTGCATAGTTTTAGTACATGTCAATAATACTTTTCACTATAAATAGTATATTGAATTGCTAAATTCAAGAAATGTAGGATACTTTCCATCTATGACATTTCTGGCATAAATTACCAATGAAACAGTTATAGACCAAACACAGTAATTAAACCTGATGCCTCCAGGAAAATGTTGTGTTCACTGTGGGATTGTTTTGTGAAATGTTTCTGCACACAGATGGCTCTGCCAGTGCTTAGCTACAAAGGAGTCAATTACTTGACCTTATGACCTCACCTGATTTCACCTTTCCTTGAGTTTGTGGGGAAAAAGCCTTTTTCAATAATACTATCAATATCGATACTTTCATTTTCATTATAGACATCATCATTACTATAATGTTATTATTACTAACCTCAACATTTGATACCAGAAAATAATTTCAAAATTCAAGGAAAAGGGTACACAAGTGAGAAAGGTAGGCCTACTACTTGAAATTGGCTCATTTATGACTTAATATTTGTGAAGCCATCTATGAGTAAAAAAAAAATCATTCAATCAAACACACAGTGGACATGGCATATGTGCACAAATGCCATCTCTGGCAGCATGGGGTTAATTCTATCAGCAACTCTTCTGACTGTCATCCTTCACTGACAAACAACTGACTGATGTATTTCTGTTTTACCTGCAATTATATGGAATTATATGGAAAAGCAGCAGAACCAGAAAAAAAATAAAACAAAATAAAAATAAAACAAAATAGAAAAACAATTCCAGTAATCAACAAAAACTACCCTTCAACCAACAGGGCAGCGTCCTTTACTCATTGTTTGGGATTACAAAAAACAACCATTCGAGGCAGTCTGGAGCCAGATGCTGTATCATGAAGGCGTGTGTGTTTGCTGTATTGATCAAAGTATGGCATATTCAGAGACAATACACCCCTAAGGTTTAAAGTCAAATAAGGAAGCAAATCAAACTCTATCTTGCCAAAGTATATGTGCAAGATGTTTGCTAGCTTACTCTTTTCAGTATGAATGAGGGCAAACTGAATATGATATTCTTGTAGAGGACAAAAAGTTGCAGTTGCCAGTACAAGAAATGATCTGCAGACAGGAATGGTAATCCCACAAATAAAAGAAAAATATCATGGAATGTGCCGCTCTATTTTGCAGTGCATTCCGAGGTAAAGACAATGTTTCCCATGGCGTGTTAGGAGGCATAGCCCCTCATCAACCCTCCCCTCGTGGAGTTAGCGACTTAGTCTCTAGCAAGTAGGTCTATACTGTAAAGAATTACCTTTAGCTGCCCTTGTCACTGTTGTGATGTTGGGCATTTAAGTAACTATGATGCTGTGCATTTGGTATGTCATGCCAATGAGAAATTTGTAAGAAAAGTGCAAATCCTGTAATTTGTGTAACATAACACACATATCAACTATAGAATATGTAACTTGTTTTTCCTCTTCCTAAAACCTAAATATCCCTTGGGACCCTATAGTTCATTAGGCCAGAACTGTATTTATTGTAATCATATCGACCTACACTCGAAATTACAGGTTGGTGACTGTCATAAAAAAATAAATAATCTATCCTAATTTTCTCAGTATTAGCAACACACTGCTCTCCTATGGAAAAAACCTTCCATCCAACCAAGAGAAAACAAATAAAATCATTATTCTTTTATGATGTTTCGGGGACCTCAACACCTGTTTCCTCTCGGCCGAAGCAAGTACACGCAAAACACGCTTAAGTTACGCAAGACCCTAATTAAACTGTTGGAATTACAGAAAGGAATAATAAGAAACTGCTTCAGGAAATGGTCAGAGACAAAAAACAAAAAAAACAAAAAACAAAACAGAATGCAGTTGAAAAGTTTGAGAACATCCCTTTGGCCTCAGAATCAAGATAGCATATGCCATGAACACAACAAGAACAAGAAAATGCTACACGCCGACTTCCTGAACACCTAAGACTATGAGCAGAGAACAATGGCTGTAAATCTTCCGAACCAAAGAAACGTGAGAGATTAAGAAACGTAAAGAGTAATTTAGTCAAAGCCCAAATAATGCCAATTTTCCCCCCGTGATTAAAACTTACCTGTTTCTATTGTATATGGCTTCGATTGGTATCGTCATAGTGACTCTGTTGTTGGTTATAGTATTGTGTTTATGTCAGCTGTATCACTGCCCTGTTGCTGTCTACGCCCACGACTTCATAAGAAATTAATAATCAAAATCTAGGAAGTATCAATGCTTCTCCAGCTGTAAATACTCTCGGCCTTGTCACGAACAGTTCACTAGTTACGGCTTGTGGAACGTTGTTTGGTAATCCTTTTTTAAAAATTTTATCTCTTGCTTATTTTTTTAAGTGTTAGTATGAGTGATTTTCATAATGAGATATTAGATTATTGTATGATTCGTTTCATGGGGATGTAAAAAAGGGGTAAAGATGGTTTAGATTAAATCCAAGAGCACATTTTAATCGATGACATAATCTGGATACAAACATTAAATAGACGTCATATGAACAATGGCTATGTATTTTTGTCTTCTAATCATTTGTCAAATACATAGATAAAGATCCTAACGCAGTAAAAAAAAATAACAGAAGAATTTTTGCTTCACAAAAGAAATGCACATCATTCGATATATGCCACATTTTGGGATTGAAAAGATGTATGGTTTCTGGCGACACTGGCAGTAGAAAACAAGAAAATGGAGCGAGAACATCTATATCGCGAGTGACGTCGAGTTTTTGTGTTATTTTAGCGAAACTTGTTGGTGATATTGATCGAATTGAAAGTACACATGTTACAAAAGAAATGGACGATACGACAGACCCTGATCTGTGTCTTAGAGAGCACCTGAATGGCAAGAACGGTCCAACATCTGAGGGCTTGGTGAGGGACACGGGCTCCTCCAGGAACAGTATTCCTAAAGTTTCTCTCAAATTACCCTTCAAGTCGGAGGCCTTCCGTGCCCAGTCGCTCCTGGCGAGGTTCCACAGCTCGAGGAAGTCCGAGAGCGGGATCAAGCATGAGGTGAAGTCGGGGAGCGCCGCCCCCTGGAGGAGCGGGGGACGCCACAAGCAGGGGGGCAGCGAGCCCCCTGCGGCCCTGGGCGACTCCCCCAGCGCCGTGGAAAACAGCGGCTCCGGCCGAAGTACCACCTCGGCGAGCCTTCCGGAGGACCTGAACCAGAACCTGGACGCGGGCGAGGGCGAGGGCGCGCAGGAGGGCAAGGGGGCGTTTCCCGTGTTCCCGAAGGCCCGCGGGAAGGGCACGGGCGGCGACGATGAGCGCCCCGACTCGACCAGCCTTTCGACGGAGGCAGGTCCTTTCGTGGGCGTCGGCGAGGGCGGCCAGAAGGGCGTCGAGAGCTGGTTCAGGACGTGGCCGGGCCGACCGAGGAAGCTGAAGGGGCTCCGCAAGAAGCTCCTGACGGCGGGCGCCAGCGGGAAGGCGGCGGGGGACCTGGCCAATGGGACTAGGGAAGAGCAGGGGAGTGGCCCAAGGGAAGAAGGAGAGGGCCTGCTGGTGCAGGGAGAGGGCGAGGGGCATGTGGAGGGGCTGTCTGAGAGTTCCTGTGTGTCTGTGCCCGAAGACGAAGGGGAGATGACTTCGAGGGTCGTGAAAGGTAGTCCGCATGTGTCCCTGGACGCACTGCTGGAGTCCCTCCCGCTGGTGTACGACCCAGCAACCAAACAGTTATGCCTGGGCACACCTCGAAAGGGCCAGAATAATTACATGAACAAGAGAATGTCCAATACAACTGCGACCGAGGGGAGTGAGTGCGATGGAATTCCTGAAAAGCTGAAGTTGGACTTTGAGAGTGATTGCTCGACCCTGGAGGAGAGAGAGGAGGAATCTCTGAAGGAATCTCTGCTCAAGACCTCTGATATCTGCGACACAGCATCCCCCCCAAAGCCTCTGGAGATCATCCAGGAGGTGGACGAGAGCGGGGAAAACATCCGGCTGATTGACAAAAACCCGTCTCCCCAGTCGGGCAATGTCAGCGGGAGTTCCTCGCTGGAGAGGGGTTACTATGAGAGCCCCCGTAACAGCCTCCAGCGTGTCAGCACAAACAACTCCCTCTCCATTACCGATGCCAGCTCCTTCTCCAGCTTGTCGAGCTCCAACACTGAGCTGTCAGCTTACTCAGCCACGGACAGTGCTGTGTGCCTTGGCTCGCAGCAGTCCGACACGAGCTCCCTCAGGGACTTCTCCATCGCAGACTCCGACGGGAAAACCAAGAAGAGAGGGATCACTGACTTCCTTACAAGGTATGTACTCTGGGGTCATTTAGCTGTTAGGAAAAAGGAAAGGAAAAGAGGAAGGTGGAGGAGAAGTAGGAGAAAGGAATGATAAGAAGGAAAAAAAGGCATAGAAAAAGAAGAGAAAGGAAAGAGGAACAATAAGAGAAGGAGAAATGGGATAGAAAAGAGAGGGAAGAAATAAAAGAAAAGGGAAAAAGGAAAAGGGATATTAGAAAGAAGGGAAAAGCAAATTTAAGATAAATGAAGGGCAAACAACGAAACAAAATTAAGAAGGTAAGAAAAGAAGAAATAAGATATAAAAAGGGGTATGACAGGAAAAGAAGGGAAAGGGAATAAATTCAGCATTAGGAAAAGTACGGGAGAAAAGAAGAGGAAAGAAAAAAAAAGGCAAAAATTAGAGAAACAAACAGAAATGGAAGAGTAAAAAAAATATACTTATAACAGAATTCAAAATGCAAAAGGGAAAAAAAAATAAAGAAGGAATAAGAAATAA